TTTGCTATAATGACTCTAATGAGGAAGAAAAGAAGGAAGGTGGTTAAACAAACCAATCTGACTCTGATGAGCTGAGATTTAGGAAGAGGGTCTTCATAATGAGAGAAGGGTACCTGTTCCAGCATAAATCCTAGCATGTCATGGACTTGGGGAACTGTGTCAGGAGGGCTAAAGCTCAAAGTAACTTTTGGGTTACAAATAATGTCCAAACTGTGCAAAGTTAATTATGAAAACAGAAATAAGAATATGTAGGGGGCCTTTGCTCTGGCCAAATGGTGTAATATTGTTAGATGGCAAAGAGAAAGCACAACTCATTGGCTTTTATTTTGCTTCCAAGTGACAATGTCAAGGAGTGGGATTTTCAGACTGAAGGTGGGGTTTAGGGTAGAACAAATATGGTAGCTGAAGACAGTTCAGAATGGGTGAAGAAGTGCAGGAAAGCATCTATCTGCTGTAGGTGAACTGTATTCCAGGAAACTGAGAGAACTTTCAATGGTATCTCACCCTCTGTTCATGGCCTCAGAGAAAGCTTGCAAAATGTGAACGTTGCTTTAAAAAAAGAAGTGTGTATGTGTGAGTAAGTGGAATTCCAAATTTCACAAAAGTAGATTTCACAAATTGCAAATCAGTGATCTTAAACTCATTTGGGAGCAAGATCCTAGGATGGCATAAGAAGGGGATGGTTTTGGGCTCCTGGAAGAGAACATGAGGATCATTAGCACTCTACATAGGTTATGTGAAAATGTGATTGACTGACCAAATTTTCCTCTTCATAGTTTTACATGACTGTTAGAAGAAGGAGGTATTACCTAAAAGGAACACTCACAACCAGGAGGTATCAGAAGCCAGAGAAGAGCAAGCACAAGGGAAGAATGAACAAGGATGCTATCCTGGAGGAAAGAAGGCTGAGGGTGAACATGATGGCTTATGTCAAGTATCAGAATAACCTCTATATGGAAGGTGAATCAGGTATCCTCTATGGACCTCTAGAATGCAAAAACAAAGGCCAATGGGTAGCAACTACTAAAGCTCAGTATAACAAAGAGCTGTCTAACCACTTACATTGTCCAATAGTGGAGTGGGCTGCTTGCCGGCAGTGCGATTTCTCCATTGCTTCAAGTGTGCAAGCAGAAACTGGTCAATCACTTTTTGGGAAATGTTCAAGGACAGATTCATGCATTAGTGTGTGATTGACTTAAATCCTTTACGATTTTGAGATTCTATGACACTACAACAGTGTTGGTATGAATGGGAAGGAATGGGTCACAAATACAGAGATAGTGATGCTGTAACTAATAGGGAAGAAATTGGAGGAGGATAGAGGGAAGAAAATTGGATCACTTAATTAAGAAAAGGTAGTCGTGCAGTCATATAGTTATTAGCCCTGAGGACCAGGATCATCATAACTGCACTTCAAAGGAGGCCTCAAATCAACATCTTTCATAGGACTTTTGGGCTTTCATCAAGGACAGAAATTTCAAAATAGAATTTTAAAGATGGTCAGAAAAGAGGGCAGTGTGTCATTTGGGTCCCTTCTCCAAGGAGGGCTGGAATCACAGGACTGCTGAGGATCATGAGGGGAGTGGGCAAGGCACATCCTTGGAAGGAGGCCTAAGCTACAGGCTTGGAGAAAAGTTAAAAAACAAGAGCAAGAAAGGGGTGGAATATTGGAAGAGGGAGGAAAGATGAGGACAAAATGAACAGGTCCATTTGTTGCCAGTGGGCAACTGCCTGGACCGCCAAAAGTCTCAGGGGCACCTGGTTCTAAGGAGAGAGGAGATTTGGGAAGCAGGAGACTGAGGCTTCAGTTCTGGCTGTGCCCCAACTTCCTGAGTGACCTTGTGGATGTCATTTCACCACTCTGCTTCCTCCCTATTATCAAATGCAGGCGCCCTGTTGCCTAAAAGTGCTCTGGGCGTTAGGGAAGAAAAGAGCTTCAGAAACTTAAGATGTTGTTTGCATGTGTGCGAAGTGTTTGCACTTACTTTTCTCCCTATTTTCAGGGTTGGGGGAGGGAGGATTGGTAAGAGGAAGACAGCAAGGAAGGCGAGAAGACTCTGTGACCATAGTCGCTTGGCTCTGCCTCGACATCCTGGGGAACCCAGAGGGTGGGGATCTGGCCAAGGGCACCTGCCCGCAGCCCCTCGACCAGCCCAGCACCCTAGAACCAAGCCAGCATCCTGGGGCTCTGCTGTCCCTTCAGCAAATCCCATTGCAGGATCCAGGGGCTAAAAGCGAGGCGCGCCCCTCCCCCACTAGATGGCACTGAAACGCCTCGTTCGCGATTTTCAAAAATGCAGGAAGGACAGGGGGAAAAATAGACAAAAAGAATATGGTGGAGGTGCGCTCATTTTGGCTCACAAGCCCTGTTGTGCAACGCAGGGTGCTGGGCACTCTCTTCTTCCCCAGCACAGCACCCGGCAGTGCGGGACCTCGACTTTGGAGTGAGGGTGCATACGAGGGGTGAGCATTAGAGCGAGAAACCCAGCGTTTGCAAACGGGAGGGAGGCTCCCGGCCTTTGCGGCGCTGTCTCACGTGAGCGAGGCGGGGGCGGGGGTGGGGATGAAGCGGGGCTCGCCTGGGGCTCACCCGCTCAAGGTCTGGGGTCCGTCACTACCTCCCAGAGCCCCCGCAAAGCCTAAATTCAGCTGCCACCTCAGATAATGACATATCCCGCACCGAGGTTTCCTTTAACCCCACCTTCCCTCCTCAAAGCGCGAGCCCCTGATCATTTTAAAAATATTTAACACTCTCCCCCCTCATCCCCAATTAAAATTCTCTTCTTGTCTTGAACGGATCAAATTTCTTCTTTCTTTTCCTGCTGAGAAGGGAGGGCGGGTGGAGGTGGGTGTGTTATGGGTGCCTGGGGCTGGCTTGGGGCTGGACTGGGGCTGGCCGTCGCAGCTTTCAGCTCAGCCAGGGTGGAAACGCCTGTGGCTAGCTAGCAAGGTAGCGCCTGTGGTTTTCAGTGGAAAAACAAAGCTCAAATGCAATCCAAAACCCCAGCGACGGAAACCCGGGGCGCAGGGGGCTCGCTCAGCCCCGCTGAAAGCCCATCCGCAATAAGCAGTCTTTTTTCTTTAAAGAACTGTGGTCGATTTGAGGGAATTTTCCACGGTTTTCAATAGAGAACTGGAGATGCAGGCAACAACCCTAAATTGATAATAATGCATGTAAGCATGCTACATAGCACATATATGTATATGCATCAATATGGATGTGGTTGGGCACATACCTTTCTAGACACCATTGACTTGCCTAGTCAAAGAATAAGGCTTAGACATTTCGTGCCCGGGAAATGGTGCAGTTTATCTTTAAGGAGGCTAGACAAATAAGAGATGAGGCTCACGTTGCACGGATGACATCACTAGCTTTTGGCTGCGCGCTCCGTGTTCTCGTCTGTGGGTTTTAGCCAAGGCTGCAGCGCCCGGAGCCGAGCGAGCGAGCGAGCGCGGCAGCGGCTTCCTCCGGCGCCCGCACCCGGGCGATGCTATTTCCCCAGCCCCCCGGGCGCAGCCTGGGTTCTCGCTCCTTCCGGGCACCCGCCGAGCCTGCGAGTCATCGGAGCCACCGCGGCTAGAGGAGAAGGCAGGGAGGGGAAGGAGAGCGATCCAGCCTCCCTCCTCCACCCTCGTCCCATTCACCTCGGCGGCCACTGCGCGCCAGAAGCCTGATCGTGGGACGCCGAGGCCGGGACGGGATTCTCCGCACGCCGCCGAGTGAGCCGGCATCTCGGCGCCTGGGTGGGCTGCGAAGAAAATGGTGCAACCTGAGAGCGATTGATCCCAGTTGGTGCCGGAGTGCCAGGGGCTCAGGTGGCGGGAGAAGAGGGCAGGTTGTTTCGAGGGGCGGCAGTGCGCTCCCGGGGCTACCCGGAGCCAGGTGAAGTGAGGCGGAGGCGTCGCGGGAGAGGCGGGTCTGGCGGCGGCCGGGTGGACACTCCAGGAAGAAGACGGCGCTGGAGACAGCGGCATGACGCCCCGGGGGCTGGCGGCAGGTCAGGCAGCGCGCAGCGACGGCGCGACCTGTCCATGGTGTTGAAAACACCGTGCGCCGAGATCGGAGCGCCCCGCGCCGTGCGCCCTCCTCGGCACAGCCCGCCCCTTGCGCCCACCAGCTGCCGCCCAGTCTTCGCAAACCCCGGGCCAGGACTCGTCCCGTAACGCCGCCGGGGTGACCGCGCCATCGGCCCAAGGGGCCGCCCGAATGGCGAGGCCAGAGGCAGGCGACCCGGGAGCTCGCGGGGAGAGGTCGGCCGACACCCTGCGTCCGCAGGGAGCCCGCCTCTGAGCGCAGCGCGCGGACCAGAAGGAGCAAGGAACCTGCTGGTGACCAGAGGGCGGTGATCTGTAAAAGACCTGACCCAGAGAGGAAGAACATTTCTGCGTGCGCGCCCCGCGTCTTCGCTTGCAGTCGGTGAGAGGGAGACCCAGGCGGGGCTCGGGGCAGCCAGCCCTGGCATCTGGCGTTTGCCCTGGCCGGCCGGCCGGCCGCATCGGAGGTGCTTCGGTTCGTCCTGTAGTCGAGCGGCTCCTCCTGACAGCACACTCACTCCCGTCCCCAGAAAGCTAGGCTAGTCGGTCCTGTCACCATCCTGCACAAAGAAAGCCAGCCCAGCAAGCCCCACCGCAGTCGAGGGCACTTGGTGTTTAGTTTCCGGCCCTAGGGCTGCGCGCCGAGGAGGCCGGTTCGGAGCAGTCGCTTCCTGCGGGGCGGGGAGAGGAGGGGAGGCGGCCGTGCCGGGCTCGCAGCCTCCGGAGGCTGCACCTGCCTCGGAGGATGCGCAGGAGCCCGCGGGAGCCTCTCCGGGTCAGAACTTTTTAGGCTGCCCGCCCCCATCCCCGCAGTCCCCGGGCCGCGCACCGGTAGGCGGGGGCCGAGGGGGCGCCGCGGAGCGAGTCCCCCTCCTGTCACCCCCACCCCCCCAGCCCGGCCGCCCGCCGCTTTGTTCCGGGCGCGCCGAGGGAAGGCCAGGCTGCGGCGGATCATGCCCATGGTGTAGCCGCGAAGCGGAGGCATGGCTGCCGGAAGGTTACTGCTCTACACGGGCCTCTCGCTAGCGCTCTGCGCCCTCGGCATGCTGGCCGTGGCCATCTGCTCGGACCACTGGTACGAGACGGACGCCAGGAAGCACAGGGACAGGTGCAAGGCCTTCAACACCCGCCGGGTCGACCCTGGCTTCATTTACAACAACAACAACAACTTGCCGCTCCGGGCCAGCCGTTCGCGCCTGGACCGCTGGGAGGGCAAACTCCTCCGGGCCCGCAATCGCCGGCAGCTCTTCGCCATGAGCCCCGCGGACGAGTGCAGCCGGCAGTACAACTCCACCAACATGGGCCTCTGGAGGAAGTGCCACCGGCAGGGCTTCGACCCGGAGATCGCCGCCCTCATTCGGAAAGGTAAGCGCTGGGCGCGAGGCGTGGCGCTGCGGGGAGCCCGGGGCCTCTGCGCCCCGCAGCCTCTCGCCTCTCTCCGCCTGGCACAGGCTGTCGTATCTCCTGGTCCCAGGCCATCCGCTCCTACAGGCCTGGCCGAGCCTCGGAGTGGCCAGAGCTTGCCTCTCAACAGCTGGTAGTGAAGCGTGGTGGGAGGCTTAATTCTCTCCCTGGCCTCTTGTCTGTTGGGATTCACTTGGAATTTCATCATACAAGGTTTTTATCCAGGGTAATTCTTCATCGGCCTCTAGAAGGAAGGGAATCTATAACGTTGTGCCCTTCAAGGAAGCCCTTTGAGAGTGATGTGTCAGGGGCAGACAGGCTCCCAATTCTAATCTTTGTTTTAGATGTTGAAGTGATTCAATCAAGGGAAATTGGGGAAAACATCTCACAGACAAGAAGCGTTGGCTGAGTGCTCTACTATACCAGGCACGGTGCAGGAATTGGTCACATAAACATCAATAAATCACAGTTCCTGCCCTATAGCAGCTCAAAACCTGTTGGCCAGTAGCATCATAGCACAATTCTTTATTTCTCCTTATGAAAGAGTGGTTGACAGAAGTGACGTGTGCATTGAACATCAGCTGGGTCTAATAAGCACAAAGTAGTTCTTTGGGTAACGCTAAAGTGGGCATTACAAAAAAAAAAAAAGGACTTTCAGAAGATTTACATAAAAAATACCCAAAGTATACCAAAGCAGAAAACAAGCTGTATGTACTGATGATAAAAATTTATTTGATACTTTAATATGATTACAAAAATTTTTTAAATTTTGCTTATCTAATGTAACTTGCAAATCTTGTATGATTTATACTTTGGGGACCATCCTGTTTTATCAAATCACTGAAATATAGCTTGGATGTGTATCGATAATTGCTCTGAGGAAAGGAATATGTTTTCTTCTGTGGTAGCTGCATCCTGAGAAAATGTGCACATTTTACGAGTCTTGTTCCCTCCTTCCCATGTTTTATTCTCTTCAACTACTAAATGGTGATGCCACGGTGACAACCATGCTATTATTTGCAAAGTGCTTTGAAGCCAAATCATAAAGTAGTTCTTAATGTCTCTTGTTATAATGCTGTTGCTGTTTTTAAACAATATTTGTAAGAACTGATGTTCTTTGATTTGTAGAAGTATTGAAATTGATAGGAAAAAAATTTTGTTGCTTCAGAAAAAAAAAAAAGTGAATTGTTTAAGAATGTCAAGCAGTGGTTATGGTTTAGGTGCGGTGGGTCCAGAGAGAGAATCCATCTTAGTGTTTGTTTTGTAGCTTCTTCAGAATGACTAGGGATTTTAGCTGATTTAGTTATGGGTGTGTTAATACTACAAACATCCCTTCTCCTTCATGATTAGGTTCTTATTAGAGCAGAGTGACTATTTGGAGCTCTACGACACTGTAAAAATCTGCAGGGTATTAGGGGATTCCAGAAGAGAGCAACATGGGGTTGGATTAAGAAGTAGGAAAACAAGAAGAAATAGAATAGTTTTTGACAATGGGTGACTTTATAACAGTTTTCAGATACTCAGATTCATAAAGTGTTTTTTTAATCCATCATTTTCTGCTTCCTTGAAAATTGAAATGGTAGGAAGTTAGCTGAAACATGAGGAAGAATTCAGTGAATACTGACTGGTAAAAACTGGCAGGATTTGCTGAAGGACGTTCTTGAATTTCCTTCCTTGAAGGCCTCCTAGAATAAGACAAGTGTCCTTCTGTTTGGCATTGGTTAACCCCACTTAGAGAAAGGGGATGGAATTCATGGCTTCTGGTGGTTCCACTCAGGGTTTTGATTCCATGTTGCTCTGCCTGGCAATCTGACTAGGAAGGTTGACTTGGTCTGTGCACCAAAGGGATTGGTTACCATAGTGACATGTTCTTCCGGTGAAGCTGGAAACACAGTGACAGGGAAAGGGATAGAGGAAGAATGTACAACATTATGACTTCGTATTGACTGATTCTTAATTGCAGCAACAGAAAATGGACACGGCACAGCAGGGGATTGAATACACTGATACCTAGAGCTGGCAGGGCATTGTATTTCACTTGAACTAATGGAAATGCTGTTCCCCATCACCCAAAATACAGCAATCACTGTCAGCTGCAAGCGCCTGCTTACCATGGCCATTTCTGTCCATTTGACATTCTTGTTAGGTATTATTGAGATAGATGTCCTGCCAGCCTTACAAATCTTGAGAGACTTAAGGTCACTATCTTCATTTTTAGCCTCAAAACATAATCTTTGAAAACTAGATTTTCCTTTCTAAGCAACAGTAGACACATTTTTGGAAATAAGTGCATCTTGTATTAATAGAATCTGCAAGCAATTCCAATAACATATAGAACATAATTTCTAGACTTAATCAGTGTTCTTCCTAGATGGGAAGATTTTGTAAAGAAGCCAAAAAAAAAAAAAAAAGAGAGAAATTGATATCCGTATATTTAAATTTAGAACATCTTAGGGAAAAATATTTATCTTGCAGTATTCACTAGAAGCCTCAAAAGATATCTAAGACCTTTTTTTTTTTTTTTTTCTTTTTTGGAAACAGATTAAAATTTTGAGATATGTGTTGAGTAAGGGGAAAGGAAAACCAGAGAAAAGACTGCTTAAAATCCATCAATATTATGGGAAAATTAGAGATTTATCTAAGTGATTATATAACCCTAAAGAACTGTCATTTGTTAAATCAATGTTCATTACATTAAAAAGTGCTGTTTTTGCATTTTAAAATAAAAGTGCATAATTAATAAGAAAACAAAAGTCAAATCTATATTTGATTTGAAGATAAAGTCTTTTGAATTCATGTTCTTTCTGAAATCCATTTTCTTCATTGCCCCACTGCTATGGCTGTGCTCACCACTATGCATTTCTGGTCACCGTGTGTTTACTTGTTTGCATTATTGAACTGTAAGTTCCTGGAGGGCAGAGAAAACAATCATTTATAAAATGCATTCACCAGAGGCTTGGTACTTGGGAAATAAATAGCTCATACAAATTAGGCTCACGGATATGTCTTCCATCAAGAGCTTATTCTAATTGTAGGAATACTTGTGTGGGAATCCAAATAAAAGATTAGTCAGAAAACTGTGGTTGAAAAAAATGAACCAGTGTAGTTATCAGGCCAGGTTAGTATTGCCAAAAGATGCTACATAATACACCAAAGGAAGATTTCTTGAGCAAGCCTTGGCCAAGTAATAAGCAAAACACACAATTCTTTGTTGGATAATATATGTCACTGAATAGACCCACATCGCCCATGCACATTATTTTTTATGTGAGATAAGATCTCAATTATTTCTTTCTTGGAGGTAGGATTGGATAGGGGGTGTAGCAAGGGTAGATTACCCTCAATTCCCACTTGACTGTGTCCATGAAGAGTCTTAAATCAGGTCCTCTTGTCTTCTTGCTTTTAAACCTCATCCATGTCTCCTTAGTAAGTCACTGCAGGCCCTGGGGACAGATCAATAGCAAGCAAGATCAGTTTCTGAAATTCAAGAGCCTTCCAGACTCTTAGGAGGAGCCACTGTAGGAAGGATTTTCTTCCAGGGAACTCTAAGGGAACATTTATATTCTTTGGTTTGTTCTGAAATGTTATGTTGCTATGGTTTGAAATAAGTAGATTTTTTTGCGGGTGTCATAGAACTTTTAATTTTTTAATTTTTTAAAATTTTATTCAAAATATTTTAATATTTACTTGTACATATTTGTGGGGTACAGTATGTTGTTTCAATACATGCATATACTGTGCCATGATTCACTTAGGGTAGATATCTGTACCTATTTGTCCACCACTTTTCTTCCCTCTCCCCCCACAACCATTATTCTGAAATAAGTAAACTTTCAACGGATACTCTAAGAACTTTTTATTATTTGGAAGTTTGCGTTATAATAAACCATCACCTAAATAGTTTCCATGATCATAGAGTGGTTGTCAATACTCCAAAAATTATTTTAATAAAGCATAGCACATACTTAAAAATTAATAATGTAATCAGCAAATATTTACTGCACATGAATTACGTGATGGGCACATATCGATAGCACGAAGGGATGAATAAGTCATGGCCATCAAAGTTTTCATAGTCTATGAGTGGCACAGGGAATAAATGATAACCACAGGATGAGCAGGGCCATAGCAGGACGGATTCAGAGGAACACAGAGGAGGTGGCGGTGGATGGGGTCGCAGTGCGGTGAAGGGGCGGGAGGGGGTTGGGGAAATTTGTCCTGAGGAAATGGCATCTGAACAAGGGTTCAATGAGGTCTGCAGATGGATGGGGAGGTAGGGCATTTCAGGCAAAGGAACCAGAATATGCAGAGCTGGGGAGGTTTGAGTGGGCAGTTTGACCTTGAGTGTGTTGATTGCTGGGGTGAGGAGGAGCAGAGGAGGAGCAGGAGAGAAGACAAAGACCAAGTCCAGGAGTTCGTATATCAAACCCCCACCACGATGCTGCCTGATAGGGTAGCCACTAAAATAACCAAAATTAAATAAAATTAGAAATTCATTCACTAAGTTGCATTGGCCACGTTACAAATGTTCACTAGCCATATGTGGCTAGCGGCTCTTGTGTTGGACAGTGCAGATTACAGTGAACATTCCCATCAATCATCAGAGAAAATTCTACTGGACTGCTCGACATGGAGCCTACAGCCTCTAAAAAGAACAAGCACATACTTTATTTTGGGTGAGGATAATTACATTCTACACTTGAAGAAACTTTGCTACTTGAAGGTTTTGGGCAGAAGATTTTAGTTCATGTCAGTTATCCTAAATCTATATTTTATAGATTTTCCATCTTTGACTCACAGAATTCTCGCGTTTCTCCCTTTTCCCCTTCTTTCCCTCTCCCTGACTTTATTAAAAATTACTTGCAAAGTTGACTGCCTGGGAAAGAAATTAATAATAATAGTCAAACTTGATGCCAGATGGTCTTCAATAAGTTTTACATATATTAGCTAATTTATTGTTCATAATAACACTGTAAGGTGGGTACTATTAATATTATTTTAAATTCTCATTCTACAGTTGAGAAGACTGAGGCATATGAAGGTCAAATAATTTGCTAAGTCTCTGAGTTAGGAAATAAAGGTGTCAGGATTTGAATTTTGGCTCCAGGTTTGGAAACTCATCCACTGACCCTACTGT